GAGAAAAAAAAACCTTGGCTTTCAGAACATCCTCTGTCTCCGCTACACATCCGGTCATTGAAAAATATTTCCTAATTGGGAACGACTCCACACCGAGGAATCATCACCACTTTTCTATAGCCATGAACCCCCACGCTGGGGGGTGCAGGCTGTTTCTTTCCATCCCTCTGCCCATCGGGGCTTCTCTTCTACTCCTTCCCTCATCTAGCATCTCGCTTCTGCTGGATGGGGGTCCTCTCCTCACTCTGGGGGCCTCATTGTGAGGTCTCTGTCCTTCCTACCCCGCTTTTGCTTCACCTCGCTTAGCATCAGCACGGTCGGCTTTGGCGGCTTGGTGATGGCTAAACGGTCAGTTGGGATGGTGGTCCTCTGGGCTATCGGGAGTAGCCTTGCCTGCTCCTGTGACCCTAGTTGCAGCCTCCTGCCGTATTGTTTGGCCGGATCTTTGCTTCCTTGCCCTCTTCCTCTCCCCTCCTCCGGGATCAGCTGGCACCCTACTGCCAGGATCGGCTGGCACCCTACTGCCCTGGCCTTCGGGCCCCACCTTCACTGAGGTGGTAGTGCTAGGACCTACCCCTCCCACCTCCCCTCCGCGCCAGTATCACTTGGTGCTGCTCTCACTTCTGCCACCCTCGCGGCAGCTCTACAACCCTTTCCTGGCTCTAGTGTCACTACAGGCACCATCCAACCTTTTCCACAACCAGACTCCTCACGGCTGGGGTCTACCCCCTCCCTCCTTGGCACTATCGGCTGCCCTCCTCTATCACGGGTTGCTGGCATCTCTCGCCTGTCTTCCTCCCTCCATGCTTGCGGCCCGCCCCCGGCCGAACAACCGGTTGGCCTACCTTGGTATTGCACTATCTCCTGGGTTGAGCTGGCCGGCCCCGTCATGGCATTTGGCAAGGGTCCTATTGTGGGCCTGACAGCGGACACATTCGTTGGCGGACGCCTGTAGAGGCACTTGGGGGTTTCCTAATCTATTCTTTCCTTTGTCGAGATGACGCCGAATGGTTTTCTTCCCTCTCCTGCCTTCTCTGTGGAGGACGATTGTTCCTGTGCGGGGCGGGATGTGCGGTTAGGCCCATACCAGAGGGTCTTGGGGGGGTTGTTTTGGTCCCTGGGGCGCGGGGGAATGCGTTTGGAATTAAGGTTTTGTTTTTGCCATAGCTAGCGCTCCATGCAGGTTCTTGTACCTTAACAAAGAATATATGAGTTAAACAAAAAAAAAAAAATCCTTAGCTTTCAGAATCATCAGTGAACGGAGAAGAGATCTTATCAATATATTCGTTATACTTTGATACCTACTTTTGTTACAAGCTTTCTTGACCACTCTCCGAGAAACCTTATTGGCCCCAGTTACAATTCGCCAGACTTAGAATTGGCTGCCGCCTAACAGCTTAACCATTGATAAACTGTCAAGAAAAGTGTTGACTTGGAATACAAGGATGATAAGTATCAAGCGTTATGTAGAATCTTGAACCGTGGTAGAGGGATTTGAATAACCAAAGCGTCTGGCAGATATGAAAATGATATCCCGAAATGTATTCTACTCTACAGCAAAATCAAGTCCTTTTTATATTAAATCTCACCTTCACGAGCCCTGCTCTTGCAGCTCCCTTAAAACCCACCGACACTAATATATTCAATAAATTCACAACAAACAACTACATTCGTCTTAGTGTACATGGTTGGCAAATACCGTGATATCATGGATGAGATTTGCGGAAAGCGCCGTGTACATTCTATCACTTGGTCCTTCTGGTCTGACCAATCCTGGCTGAGCCCAGTCTCATGAGCTTGACTACTGAGTCAGTCTGAAATCTGCAACAGGACTAGACTTGATTCTGACCATACCAGCCGGTTCAGTCCAGTCCTTTGCTGACCATTCGGAACCCTGACCTAGCCTCCATCTCCAACTCGAATCTCTCTTGAGCATAGGGACCGGCAAGGATTTCACCCACCATATCAGTGCCGGGTGGGAAGTCATGCTCGAATATAGGTTCCCCTGCTCCTTTAACATTCACCAGGACCGATTGACGGTAATGCCATCTACGGAGTTCGTAGGGGACAAAGTGGGGGTCGGGCAGAGATCGACACACAGGATCTAGGATTCTACCATCAAGCCCAAGCCGATCGCCTGTAAACACAATTACCCTGTAGCTGTCATCTGGGTTAACTGACAAGAGGTATTGTGTGAACATTTGGTGGATGTCAGCCCGGAGAAGGAAACCGTTTTGAGATGAGTTGATCTTCGAAGACCCGGCGGCATCATCAATGTCAGTGATCCACCGTCCATAGCTATCTTGAATCCAATGGTTCTCCTGCTCAAAAGGAAAGATATAGACAGCCTCGAAGCCAGTCCAGTCGTTAGCCTGAATACAGCTATCAGGATTTACAAGCCCTGAAATAACGCATTTCCGGTCCCGATTACTAATTTCAAGCCAGTGACGGAATGTATCTCCCCCAGAAGGCCTATAACGAGAAACCAAGCAGTGTATCCAAGGCTGATCGCTTACTTGGATAGAGGCTGGCAAAATTAGGAATTGGCCACCTGATAAACGCGGTAAATACAGCACATACCATTGCAATGAATATCTTATACTCCTGTTTTGAGAGGGACGTTCATTCTGCATACGACATGGCTCGATATCCTCTCTTGAACACGTAGAGGACTCGGACTCCCGTCAACAATAAGTATGATTCCGAGGATGTCAAGAAAATTCGCCTCAGTTATAGACCCATTCTGGACTAGCCCTCCAAGAGCCTCTTCGGGATTGGTAGCATCATGAAAGGAGACATTACGTTGCAGATAGTGATTTTGAGACATCGTTGGTATGGGCAATTCCTGTGAAGGTGGCCAGGGGAATGACCTGAGAACTAGTGAAGGCAAGAAGTTGAGAAATTGCGCTCAGAACAGACGCAGTTGGGTAGTGAGATAAGGTTATGCTGGATTCAACAAGGTGGCAGTATGTGGTCTCGAGAGTGCGCTAGTTTGATAGGAGTGGATGTGGTCTTGATTATATATCCTGTTGTGCCTCGCGAGCGCTCCCTCTTTCTAACCGATAAAATCCGCCGACAGTCACATGTTTACCCGAAATGCGCCACCCACCATTAACGTATTGCACACCATAGCGAGCACCCGGCATAGCGAGCCTTCTGCAGGTCTGGGCAACATGATTGGTTGAACGCCGGTTGAGATTGGAATAGTGGCTGGTATTTTGGTGGATGGCTCGCTACCAGGGGGGCTCGCTATGGTGTGGAATACGTTATTAAACTCTATCAAGTGACATATGATACGAGTACAATCTTGGCAACAAAATTAGTCGCACTGGGTGACCAATAAAGTCAATTAGGTCACAGGACAGATGTCAGATGTATGTGAGCTTTGCTCGAGTCCTCGCTGCAGAAACTTCGACTGCAGAAGCTTTGACAAATCCAAAACTCCTAATTCGGCCCAAGGAAGGTCCAATCTAACGTAGTGTGCAACGGGGAATACATCCTATACGTACACCTTTGTGGTTCATATTAGCAGTGTCGGCGCCTGTGGAGATTTTCCAATTTCTACCTCCCCTGCGAACCCCAACCAGCACATCCACCCGTCAAATCCGCTCTCCGCCGCAACAAGTTATAAAATATGCCTCTGGAATTATCTACAAGTGCCGTGGGGGATGTTTTCGCACACACCACTTTGTGACCTCACTAGTTTTTTGTTGAAATTCATGAAGCTTGCTTTATGTTCAGATATGTTACTCTGGGGCTAGAAAGATCTTACATGTCACAAGCTAGAAATAGTGTTCGTTACGGGGCGGGACGGGGCGGGTTTTTGCGAGTTCTCCTTGACTCGTTACGGCCACGGGGCGCCGCCAAACTCCCCCCTCCCCGCCCCGCCCCCCGCACGGGGGCTACCGGGCGACCCCAATTGTGCTCCCAGCCATATAATTTGGTGGGGGCAATAGCGGGGCCCCGTACAGGGGGTGGCCAGGGCGGGGGGCCGTATCGGGCGGGGCAGGGAATGGAGGAGAAAATACGGCCCGCCCCGGGCCAAACGCCGGGGCGGGGCGGGGAATGGGGGCAGGGACCCGCAGTTTTCGGGGCCCAGGAGGCGCCGTAATGAACTCTAGTTAGAAACGCAGAAGTTGGTTTTAGTTTTAGGGAGTATAGGAGAAAAGGATGCTGGTCTGAAATTGTATTCGTCTGAAAGGATGTTTGAGAAGATGTTTGAAACTAGTGTTGAACGCTATGGGTTGGAAAAGCTTTTTCCTTTAGTTTCTAACATGCTGAGACGGGCATGTGTCACACCATAATCACCATGTTACAGAAAATGTTATTAGATGTTGGAAGTACAGAGGTGACAGCAGGACTGACGAAGAAAAAAGACATGAGGGAGACTTGGAAGAGATTTTTCTTATGTATGATGGATAGTGATGTATATATAGAACACCTCTAGTAGGATAAGAAAATTAAGGACTACAAGAAACTCTTATTCGAATATCTCCTAAAAATAAGATTTTCAAGGATTTTTTGCTGGTAAGCCACTTTGGTGTGTGCAAAGACTTTATCCATGGCACTTGTATTTCATATCACAGCGAGTGCCTTATATAGCAAGCGATATCACATTAACTGTGGAGAACCGCCCGACACTTTTACGTGGAAATAAGAAGTGGCTGGGGTGAAACTTACAATTGCATCTAGATCAGAGACCTAAAAGGGCTTAGTTCTGGTTACAAAGAGTTAGCATATGGCGTTTCATTGCGGTTTTGAGCCAAAACTCGGTTAAACATTTTATTTTGATGTACTCGCGCCGGGCAGTTCTTCTCTGTTAACACAGTATGCAGGTTTGCGTGAGGCAATATATTGAACTTCAGTCAAGATATCAGTTGTGACCTGTATTTGGGTTGATAACCCACCATTCTGTGGCATATATTCTGGTTTTGGGATATGCGAAACTTCTGGTTTCCTCTTTTGCTTCGAAATTTGCACAATTATCAAAATCGCTCTGCATCATTATAGTAATTGTTTCTCATCTAATGGAAATGCGGGTTTTGAATTGAAAAAAGTACTAAGTGGGCGCAGCGGATAGTTTTCTTCGGCCACGGAGAACATAAAGCCATGCCTCTCCAAGATTGTTAACCTATGAACAAACTTGTCCATTTGCTTCAACGCCAATACCGTAACGACCCCAACCATCCAGGAACGAGTAACCTAAAGATAAGTAAAAAAAAATAAAGAAAGAAAACAAAGTAAGAGACATCACTGTCAAAGAGTGCTTTTGTTAGCCCGTCTTGTGGATACACACTATGCTAGTACTCCCTGACTTTTAGAATCCCTACAACCTCCCCATCAGGCCTCCGAAACAACCCATGATCGCTCGGCCAGTGCTATTAAACCCAGAGGCGTAAAACCTCCAGTCTATTATGAGAGGTAGCTATTATGCAACCTCTCGCAACCCGGCAGGTACCTCCAACCCAGACCCCTCGTGGGTGCATGGACCAGCAAGAATGTCACCCAGAAGATCAGGCCCTGGTAGGAAGGCATCATCAAAAATCAGTTCTCCTCCTCCTCTGACATTTGCAAGGACTGATTGGCGGAAATGCCATCTGAGGAGTTCGTCAGAGACACGGTGAGGATTGGTCGGAGATCGACAAACGGGATCTAGAATCCTACCGTCGAGTCCAAGCCGGTCGGTAGTGAACACAACCACCTTGTAACCGTCATCTGGGTTGACTGACAAGAGGTAGAGGTCAAACACATTATGAAGGTCGGATTGGAGAAGGAGGCCATTTTGCGATGAGTTGATTTTCGAAGATCCAGCAGCATCATGCATGTCTGTCATCCATCGTGAATAGTTAAACTGAACCCAATGACTTTCATGCTCAAGGGGGAAGATATGAGCAGCCTCGTAGCCGCTCCAGTCGAGGGATTGAATATTGCTCTCAGGATTGACAAGCCCGGAAATAAGGCATTTCCGGTCACGGTTACTGATTCTATGGCGGAATGCACGATCCCTACCAGTGATGTTATGAGAAATTGCTCGGCGCATCCAAAGCTCATCATGGACTTGGATGGAGACTGACAAAATAAGGAATTGAGCTACCCAGTGAATGACCGAAATTTAACACATACCTTCACAATAAATATCGTAAACTCCTGTTGTAAGAGGCACATCCGTTCTGGATACGACACAGCTAGATATCCGCTCTTGAACACGCAGAGGACTCTCACCAACCACCAGCATGATTCCAAGGATGTCAAGAAAATTTGCCTCAGTTATCGAACCATTCTGGACAAACCCTCCAAGAGCCTCTTCAGGATTGGCGGCATCATGAAAGGAGACATTGCGCCAGCGAGAGCCATTTATAGACATCGATGCTATCAGTGGGTGTAAAGGTGGGAGTGACTTGAGAACAGGTGTGGGGAAGAAATTGAGGTGTATATTGGTGACCTCTTAGAAGAGAGGCAGTGGGGGTGGTGAGATAAAGTTTCATTGAGGTTGAAGAGGGATTACTGGATGGACGCACGAGCCCACTGTTTGACATAGGTGGATGGCAATGATTATCTACCGAGTTTTGTGGACTGGGCACCCCCTATTTTCCGCCGAATGAGAAAATTCACCGACAACCAGGTGCCAGCGGGAATGGGAGATCAACGTGAACGAGAAGGGTGTAATCTTAGCAAAGAGAAAAAAATTTGTTGCAGATAGCAATCAATACCATCGGTTAGGCAGCACTTCAGAATCTGATGTAATATATGATATACACTTTTCCCTACCCACGATGATAGTAGCGGTGTAGCGGTACAGTGCCGGTATCTGGAACATTGCCTTGACCCCAGTATACCCCACATTTCCGTCCAGCTTTCAGGGATATCACTGACCGGCCAAACTCAAAAACTCCTCCACCGCAATAGTGCTGGCAGCAAAAACCAGAGGATGTCTCAACATACTATCAATGATACTCCCAACTTCTACAATACTGGTAACTCTATGAATGTGGAATAACTTTATCGTAACTGGTGATCAGTCTCAACTCCACGTCTGGCTGTCACCTTGTAGCCAATTTCGTGTTTCACCAAGGGTCACCCCGAGCTTTCTTGAATTTTGCAGAGAGGAAGCTGTGGCCCATGCATGGAATATCGGATGAAGATGTTGAGAGGATCCTTGCAGGGCATTTGGGACGGCCTCGGGAAGGCGATGAAGCCAGCCGGGGATAAGACAACGGTAAGAGAGGCGAAGCTCCAGTGACAGAAGGGGGGGGGGGATTAGGGGACCGGATAAATAGGGGGGAACCGGATGGGAAACGTTTTTCCATCCGAATGCCATCCATATGGGTAAGCAACTCATTCGCGACGCTATCAGAGACAGGTAGCCGCGATAAATCTCTAGGAAAAGTGTAATTTGAGCTGACAAGATCGCAAATCCACTCCTATCCGGGAGGAAATCAAGCGGCCGGCAGAGAATGAACCCTACACATGGATTTCAACTAGATGCACTATCTTTACCAAGTGAGGTTATCGTGCATCATGTCGTAACACTACTTTTGCATGCCGAGTGATACCACGTGATCGCCCACCCGACTGACCTACGTGATCCGAATACGAATCCACCCCGCAGAGCCAGAAACACACAGCACCAGAGTCAATAGACGCGCGGAGAATATACTCTAATGGAAACCGATTGATCGCAATCCAGAGAGTTCAAAGTAGTACCTTTGAGTCTCCACCCCGCTCACAGTGGCTCTCGACCCATATTGGAACCCACAGGAACACCCCGGCGCGACGGGAGACCATTCCGAAGCCTCACCTACCGCACAACGAGATCCTGGCATCACTCCAAAGTGACGTCGGCCTTCGGCAATTCCCCTTCCTTCTTTTTTTCTTTTATCAATCAATCCCGCTGCACCGGAAAACTGTAACCTTGCTCTAACCTGAGGTGGAAGATAGACTACTGGGTGAGTATATTACATTGTTTTGCCACTTACCGAACCTGAGCACTAGCCTAGGGCGGATGATACTCGTAAACGGCTGCATGAGTATCAAACAGTAGTAGTGCTTACATAATCCGCGTGCTGACCCAGAGCGGATGAAGGATCTTTGAGTGAGTAAGTTAGGCACCCGGGATTTTGGCCACCCCCAGATTCCAGCCGAGCATGTAAATCAACTCGAAGTCACACCCCAACACAGTTCAACCAACACCAGCTCAATAACACAATATAGCCAATCCCCATGAATATGTGATAGAGTGAGCACTGGAAGCTATTGAGCATGGTATGGGTGAGAGATAAGCTTGCCTGGAGTTTAAGGTTAGCCATAGAATGATTCAAGGTCATCGACCAGGAGCCTCTACCTCTCCGGAAAGTCATACCTTCATGCAACACTTAACAGCAGAGCAGGAAGATACACTTGTTGCATGAATGGTAGGGCAAGGGGAGAGAGAGGCTTTGCACCTTCCCATACCCGGGTTCGTGAGATGGCAGAAAAGATCAACGAGTCTAGTGAGAGGAGCATCATAATGGGAAAGAGTTGGGTGTGGCAGTTTTTGTTATGACATCCAAACATCGCTACACTTTTGGACAAACCAATAGATTTAAAGTGAATTGGTGAAACCCAACCGGAACTTATAAGGCAGTTCTTCGATCAATTCAATACTGTACAGGCCCACTATAGAATCTAGCAGGAGAATATCTGGAATGTTGATGAGCATGGAATTGCACTAGAAGTATGTGTCAATGCACAGGTTATTAGCAAGGCTGGAAATAAGCATACCTATATGCAATCACCAGAAAGTTGCCAATGGGTATCAATTATTGAAACAATCAGTGCTACTAGTAAGTACATTCACTCTGTTGTGATTTTCAAGTGCCAAAATATTCAAATGTCATGGTTTAAAGAGGACAATCTACCTAACTAGTTGATTGCAACATTGGGCAAGGGATGGATGACAAATGAAATTGCGATGAGATGGCTCCATGAGGTCTTCCTACCAGAAACAATTCCCAGTGCTACCAATCACTGGGGCATACTATACCAATGAATATTGATTCTGGATAGGCATGGGAATCATATCCAATTAGACTTTCTTTGGAAATGCTGACAGGCTAATGTGGAACTTTTATTCCTGCCTGTACACTCCAGCCAGGTCCTCCAGCCTCTGGATCTTGGTACTTTTGCTCCTCTTAAGTCATATTATCGCAAGTGTATTATGGAACTTGCTCAATATAATGATGCTGCCCCAGTGAAGAAGAGGCCTTTCGTACAATACTATCAACACACACAGGAGGAAATATTCAACCTCTGGTATCCATGTGTTGGTAGTAGGACTCTTTCCTTAGAACCCTAAGAAGGCTCTACACTCATTCCAAGTCCATTCCAACTGACCAACCTCTGATCAGATGTCAGACCCAGAGCCCTTTCAAACTCTTAAGTGATTACATACAGTTCATAGTACTCCTCTGCCACTCCATAACCTATTTTATTCTTCAACCCACCCTTGCAATCTCTACGGCACTATCAAATCCCTAGAAGCTACTGGAGATATGACTAGAGATCTCAGAACTGCCTTGAACAAGACAAGTAAGGCCTTCAGCCACCTTACCACCCAACATGTATTTATTCAAGCCTTGAATCAACAACTACAGCAATGATTGAAAGAGTTGGAAGCTAAGTGAAAGAAAAAAAAGGTTCCAGTGGACCCTAATCTTTAATTTGTAAATATCGAAAGTAGTAAACAGGCTATGGAGGAGGCGGCAGTGCAGGAAGCCCGGATTCAGGCTATAAAACCAGAGGAAAAGGCAAGGCAAACCTCTTCTGCACTCATAGCAGCTGATATACAGCAGTTTATATCAGAATGGCAGGTTTAATAGTTCAGAATTATTTAATGTAATTTTACTTACTTGTTGTTTTACAAAGATCGGGTTCATAGGATTGACTTGATATTCGTTGGGTGGCCGGCATCCAGGGGTGGCCGGCGTCCGGGGTGCCTAGCTTATGTTAACCACTCTACCATACCAACATTCTGCTGTGCAAGGATTTTATACACATATAAACCTCGCTTGCTGTGAACTCAATAAATCAACCATTACTGACCGCGGAGAAGACACCCTGAAAAGCAATAATGCTTTCTAGACCCGATATAGCCTAGGCAAGCTGAAATTAGAACACAGCATTAACTATTTGCACTACAGTAGTACTAGTACAATAATGCAGTTTCATAATCTTTTATTTTCGTTCGATGTAATTCCGAAATTTCTTCATAACTTTTTGCACCCCCGTACCACTACACGATAGAAATGATACCTCATTCATCAGCAAAAAGAAACTCTGCGTCTGATGCGTGGGCGGCGCCTCCTGATGCCGAGTTTTTTTTTTTTGCGTCCCCTGCGTCGTGTGCGTCCTGATTCTGGTTGCAACGCCCCACTGCGTCCTGTGCATCCGGGCTTCCAGCCCCGACGCCCCCCTATGTCCCCTGCGTCCCGTCACCACTCCCTTGCATGCTCACCTCCATTACCCTCTGGCCCTTCGGTTGAACGTCTGGATCATGTCCCTACATTGCTACTGCAAAACCGTCGCTCTTATCACAGCGCTCACGGCCTTGCGTCTGCCTCACCACCTGACGTTCAGCCCGGGCCTCCATCCTCAGGATTCCTGCCTGGCGCCCCCCTTTGTCACCGCGAAATCCAGACCACGTCCTACGGCAGCCAACCCTCTTTTCAAACCCCGACGATGAGCTCCTAGTGTCACCCCCTCCTGACGCTCTGCTCCTGGCTTCTTTCTCCGGATTCCCCCATGGTGTCGCGCAACAATCCTACAATCCGTCCAGTTCCTCCAGCCAGCTCTCGCCACTTCGGAATAACATCAGACTTGAAACGCAACACTCGCTACAATCCCGATTACGTTCTGCTGTGTTGTCTGCTGGTGGCGATCCGTATGAGTGCCTCCCTACATTGCTGCGACGTTCATATCAGCTGATCGACATCGGAGCCTGCCTCGCGTCTCCTATCCATGATATCGACAACCCCGCGTGGGCAAACATGTTATGGTTCCTCACAGCAGGTTTGCGGATCCTCCGGCGGACACTTGATTTCTAGCACTTTGTCTTAATCATATTCTATTATTTCTACGTACAGCTTGCTATCAAGAGACCTTTATCATTCTATGCCCATATTGCCTGTTTGTTGTCGTAGGATTCGCGTCTGGTGTTAGAAGTTCTGAGTGTCGCATAATCAATGCGTCTGTACGACGTTTGTCAATATATTTCATTAAACGTCCTTAAATCAATGCGACTGTTGACCAGCCATCGCCTGTCTGCCTTTGGAACCAGGTGGGCTTGCCCAAGTATGGTGCCTATGTCCACTATGGTAAACCTTCTCG